GCCTTAGCTTGACGAAAGATCAGAGCAGGGCATGAAAGAATGTATGTCACTGACCTAACAAAACTCCAGGAGGGCATGTTTTTATACAAGTTTTTAATCATATGGGTCAATATATTGATAGCTAACAGGAATTGGTCAGAAAACTAGATAATGATAATGAATTGTTGGATATAACTCCGCATTTTTAATAGCAGTACTTTGAAATGTTGTGGAAAAAATGCAAAGATGATTTGAATAATTGAATGAGTGGATTATTTATGGTAACATTATTTTTAATTATAAAATTATTTGCTGGTCAGTATGAAAGTTAGTTTACTTTCGTTGATAGGACTTGTAAACATTGTTGAGAGGTCTGATCGGTGTCACAAGCACTCCACTACCTAAGGCTTTTGGTCCTGGCGTTTGATCTAATCTAGTTAGTAGTTGCAAAGGGTGCACAGCACGACGTGCCCACTCATAAAGTGGTGTGGATGCGCTACGGATCACCTTCAACTAGGTTGTGTCCAGTAAAATAAGCGACGTTAGCTTCAATGTCGAAGACTTGCAATACTGTATACTTTGGGATTTATTTACCGCTACAAAACAGTAAGGAACATCCGTATTCAAATTCTTTCTTGGCCCACTCGTCTTTAGTCGTTGAATTAATGCTAAGAAACATAACACAGTGTAAGCACATCCGCATCAGTAGGATAAGAACACACTAAGCCCCCAAATGCCCTGGTACAGCCGAGAGTAGGGAGAGCTCGATCTCCCACTTCAAATACTCTCACATAGCCACTCGTATATAGCCACTGCTAGGGAAGCCCTACGCACTGCTTTATGGAGACCGGGGATGTTGTTTTCGAATTTGAACAGGATGAAAAGCGGATATCCAGCGCTTTAACTTGATTGGTGGATATTGAGGATCCACCTAGAGGAGTTGGAAAACCCTGATCCCGAACCAATGGTGTACATGGCCCCCAGAATCCTAAGGGAACAAAATGCGTATGAACAAACTGTTGGTCACCGGCTACCATGGGATTGTATCTCCTGACGTTGCTCCACTGCCTTGCAGGTGAGACATTTAGGTCGAAAGCTCTGGGTGTCACCCCCCTAAGAAAACCACGTGCTTCGGTTTGAGCACCAGGGCAGCATCACAGCCCATACACAAATCGAGTGATCCGTGTGGCGCATATGTATTCGGTGCCCTCTGTACCAACATTTATGTGTCCAAATAAATAAATAAATAAATATTCGTATACGATTGCACAATTACCTAGATCAAAAAACCACGATAAGAGCACCAAAAAGCTTTATATATTTCCCCTAGGTGAGGTGTGACCAAATGGTGGTTTGTAACTTGGTAAACACTTGAAAATAGTTAAAGTCAGTTCTAATGCCGACACCAAAATGCTACGTTAGTGGTATTGCGGATTGAGTTATGATGATATATTTTACTTTAAGATCAGTTCATAAAGGTGCTTGAAAAAATTTTAAGCGATTTAAATGCACCAAAGAAATATAAACAAAGATCTCGATAAAAACCGGATCCTTTCGGAAAAGCAGCACGGTTTCAGAATAGGTTACTCTTGTCTCACTAACTTTTTAATGGCTCGTGAAAGCTGGTGCGCTCTTAAGGACCAAAAGTCACCTGTAGACGTAGCCTTCATTGATCTCAGTAAAGCTTTTGACAAGGTTCCGCACAGCCGGCTGTTATATAAGTTAAGAAATATCGGGATTGGAGGCAATCTATTTGTGTGGATAAAAGACTTCTTAGGTGGGCGTCAACAAAGAGTACGGGTGAACTCAAAGTTATCTAGCTGGGGAACTGTGCTTAGTGGAGTGCCCCAGGCTACAGTTTTGGGGCCAGTGCTATTCCTCTTGTATGTAAATGACCTTCCTCGTCTCCTATCATCATCGGTTTTGCTATATGCTGACGATGTCAAGATATGAAGAAAAATACGATGTGAGGGTGATAGCTTAGAACTCCAAAATGACCTGAAGAAATTATCTGAATGGTCTCAAACCTGGCAGTTGCCGATGAATACTTCCAAGTGTGTTGTGATGCATATCAGTCATCAAGGTACAGATACATACACGATGAAAAACACTGAGCTACCTGTCGTCCAGACATATACTGACTTAGGAGTCATCGTTAGCCAAGACTTCAAGATTACTTCACACTGCCGTGCAATAGCCGCGAAAGGTTTTAGAACGTTATGGTCAATACGTAGGGCTTTTAGTCATGTGGACGCTAAGACGTTTTTGACTTTGTATACAGTGTTCGTTCGTCCTAAACTTGAGTACTGCATACAAGCGGCTAGCCCCTGCTTAAAAAAAGACAGTGAGCTTCTGGAAAAGGTTCAGAGAACGGCAACTAGGCTGATTCCCGGAATAGCGAAGCTTCCGTATGAAGCTCGACTGGCCAAGCTGAACCTTTTCCCGTTGTCATATTGCAGAACTAGAGGCGACTTGATTACAGTTTTCAAATTGCTTAATGCCAAATTTGCACATGATATGCCCTCATTTTTCTTGTCTCCCAAAACAGAGAATTTACGAGGACACTCCAAAAAACTTCACAAGCCAAGGACAAATTACTTGTCAGCTGACTATCGACTTTCCCATCGAATCATCAACGAGTGGAACTCATTATCTCAGCACGTGGTTGAGGCTCCATCCGTCGACTCTTTCAAAAGAAAGTTGGATCAACTGAGAGACCACCATTGCCAGGGCTAACACAGGCCATCAAGCCTCCTGTCCTTCCCAAACTGACACTGAAACTAATAGGTCTACAGTGGTGTACAACGGAGAAAGTGTATATTCAAACCATTGAAAGTGATAAATGACCTGTAGTTGGTGGGGATTTTGAGCATCCAATCTGCGCGTGTTTTCGGTGATCTCTCGAAGAATGGGATTCGGTCTTGTTGCTATTGCCTATATATTAGCATTAATTTTTACGATTGCTCTTATATTCCTCGTTATTTTTCAAGTAATAGGGTTTGATTAATAGCTGTATCCCAAAGGTTATCTCATTTGACGAACTTCGAACAGACTACAAAAATCCCATTGACCAGTGTAAATCGCTTAATCCGGTACACTCGGTTTAGCCACTTATTGCATTTAGCTCGTACTCCCTGAATATGCACTTCATGCCGCATTCACAATATTGTTCATGTTCACAGGCCAAATTGGGACTGTCTTACTAAATGTGCCATTGCTGGCATATAATATTTACAGGTTAACCTCATTAAGTAATTCTCATCGTTTTAGGTACAAAAATCGGCCAGTTATGTCGAGTCCTGGATTGTATGATCCGACTACGATCATGAACCATGATGAGCTTAGCAGAGCTATGAAGGAAGGCTGGGTGAAGCTTGCTTTCTTTATTATTTCCTTTTTTTACTATTTATATGGGTATGTTCTTTACAGTATCCTAACCTCGTTTAGAATGATTTACGTACTCGTCACTGACTGAAGAAAAACCAGTCTCTTCAAGAACGAAAACGCATAGTTCAATCTTTCACATTTTATTCTGTGTACAATAATTCAAATATAATGTCTTATTTTATAGTTCTTCCTTCTTTTCCTGTTTGGTTACTGTCATTTGGTCTCAAAATTTATATTTCAGAATGTCTCTGCTGTGTTCCCTATCAAACGAGGTGCCTGAGCATCCAGTTGTTAGCCCTCGCTCGGGCCATATTTTTGAAAGACGGTTGATTGAAAAATACCTCGGGGAAAATGGGACTGACCCCATCGACCAACAACCTTTAGCGGTTGAGGAGCTAATTGATATTAAAACCCCGGCCTTTGTCCGTCCTAAACCTCCTTCTGCAACATCAATCCCTGCTATATTAAAGACTCTGCAGGTATTAAAAACTTAGTGAGTAATTTTTTGTTAGGATGAGTGGGATGCAGTTATGCTACAATCATTTACACTCCGACAGCAGTTGCAAACTGCTAGACAGGAATTATCACATGCTTTGTACCAGCATGATGCAGCTTGTCGCGTTATCGCTAGGTAAGTTAATCATTTTCATTTGAAGTGCTAGTTCGGGTCTCTCGGTTATTATCTTCATATTTTACCAAAATAATTGTGGTTCCGTCATGTGATTTAGGTCGCTAGCTTGCTCTTGAAGTTCTAGATTGATTAAATCATACTACTTTGTAGTTCATTTGTGCTCATTTCTAGTATTTGTTACGAAGATTAATCTTTCGATAATTAGCGTAACACAAGGCTCTAACCTAGTAATTACCTCTTCTTGATCACCAGTTTGATTTATTTGAAGGTTTGTGCCAACTGTTTCCCCCAACCACGTGGTTTGCTAATTGCAGTTACCATGGTCCCGGAACGGAATGCAGAACGTTGTAGTATTACGTCACTTAGCTATCACACTGAAAGATCATCCGATAAGATGTCACCACTGAGGAATAAATAAATCTTAAAATGTTTCTCAGCCTCCAGATAGTAGCTACATTTTGCAGCAAGAGAACGCCAGTATAAGTGGAAAACATTTTAAATCAGCCAAAGGGTTGTGAATGAATCAGTGAAAGGTAATGTGTTCGAGATTTAGGGGAAGAGTAAATTCAGATGCTTATTTGTAATCAATTTGGAGCAAAATCCTTTACACAATCGTAATCCAACTTGTTACTTATCAGTCTAACTAGGCAATATATATATATATATATATATATATAAGCCATCCAGATAGAAAACACCTGCAAACTTTAAATTTTTACTACCTCATCTTATCATCAGTAATTCACAGCTCATAGTTTTATCTTGCAATGGGTTCCTTAGTTTAAACAAATAGGGATTTGATTACTAGCTACTTTAAGTAATAGAATAGATCTTATCATGTTTTTGATTTCAGTGAGAAATTGTTTCAGTTAACACTTAATTAATGATGTATACTCGTCCTACTACACACAGATATTGGTACGAGGAGGCACCGAATACATATGCGCCACACAGATCTCATTTGATATGTGTGAGGGCTGTGATACTGCCCGGGTGCACAACCCGAAGCAGGTGGTTTTCTTAGGGGACCACACCCTGAGCCTTCGACGACTTGTTTATTTCGGTTTCACTCACCACTACTGTCAGTAGGCTTAAACACACTCAAGTCATACTTAAAGTACTGTAGTCGTACCAAATTGGACTTGGAAACAATTTGCACCTTTTAAAAATGCATAATATCTTGAAAATCCCTTTTTACAATTTTCTTGATTGTACTACAAGTTATAACTGCATTCTAGTTTGTTTCATTGTCTGAACTCTCTTATATGCTTGTTGTCCTACTGGTCGTTTATTTAAAATTGTGTGTACTGAATTTGCGAAGTGCACAATATTTACATCAGTACTTAAAAAGTTTTGTACTTCGGTTTCTCAGTGAGTCGTGATTATTGAATGTAGTGAGATTGATTTTTGTTTCGTGAACGAGTAAGCCCGATAACTATCAACGGATAGGTATAGACATTCAATAGATTTCGGTTACTCCTTTCAAATTAATGTATTTACACTCAAGCATTCTAGTTACAGTGTTTCTTTATTTGCTTGATTACAGTGCCGCATTCAGGGCTAGAAAAGTATGAAATCAGGTAGTGTGCAGTGTCAGCCATAGCGGAAATAGGTTATCCGGCCATACGTAAGAAATTATTTCTTCTCACCATTAAGGTTTTATTGATAACCGGAACTAGTTCTTATTATACCTAAATTGTCGTTATGCTCATTCAAGTGTACAGCAATCCGATAGAATTTTGACTTTGTCTCAATCAAACCTACCTGCTGTCCATTGTGCATCAGTGTACGTATACTGGAATTCATGTACGCTAATCACTCACACGGTTTCAAAATCGTGAAATTAAGTCTTGTGTCACAAAATAAACAACTAATTAATACATAATTAAAATAAATATGACACGAAACAAAGCTCAACTAACATAATCAGCATTTATGCGTTTCGGGAAATGGAATTTTTTAAAAACTTTACTCCTTATGTATTTGGCATTAATTCCGTATGATCTGTATTACTTTGATAACGCCAAACAATGAAGTAAGTGATTACCTACGGAGTTCACCTTCGAAAACTCAATTTAGAGGTCAAGATTTGAAGCTAAATTTCCATAACATTCGTCTACCGACGTAAGTTTGTATCTGTAATTCATCGATTCAGGATGCTAGGACTTTCACAATTGTTCATTAAAACTCAGTGTTTTGGAACTCTTAGTGAGAAACATAGTGAGTTCGCCAGTTCTGTTCACTCGTAGTTAACCTATATTCCCTACTTCGTGTTGTACATTCACAAAACTTTACTGTAAACATTGGATAAATTTCTCTATCTTAGATAATTCGGCAGTATATAGGGACATAGTTTGTCAGTAATATCGTTTCTATTGGTGGAGTTCTGCATCAAAAAACCGACAAGGCCCACCTTTGCTTCCACGAGTTAGTCGGAAAACAGGCGTTTATTAGCATACTGTTAATCAGAGCATCCAATGGTGTATCTAAGCGTCCGATCTTTGTCATGTATTACAAATATTGACTAAACCATACATATTTGGCGCCATTTTAAAAAATGAGGTTTATGATCCCGAAGTTAAAAAAAATGTTAAAAGCTAACTGTTAAGTGTCATTTCACTTATAACATTCTTTTTAACAACTTGGGCTCTATGTTTGGAACTCTATATTATATTGTTGCGATGATGTTTTGTTTCAAATTTTAATACTATGAAAAATGATGGGTTCGCTAATTTAACTAAACGTGTAAAAACGGGCTTCTAGGCTAACAAAGGAAGTAACAGCTGCACGTGAAGCTTTGGCTACATTAAAACCACAAGCTGGTATAATACAACCATCTCAGATGAATGTACAAAATATTAACACAACTCATCAACCTCCTGCTGGCACAGCTCCAACTGTTCCTCCATCCTTAGACACAAGTGACAACTCAAGTACTGTAGATTCAAACCAGGTAAGAATGAATTGATCTTGGCATTTATCTCTTTGGTAGTATCTTGATATTGGAGTTTTAAGAGTATTCCTCCAATTTCATCCTATCTTATGATTTTAATGTATTTTATACACTTAAACTAAGGTGATCAAATCTTAGTTTCAAAAAATCTTATGGAACCGCATTGTTGTTTATTGTTGAAAAAATCATTTAGATTGCTGTACACTCTAGGTTTCTCATCATGTTGTGTCACTAATTATATGTGCGCATTACACATCAGCTAGGACTGGATATAAAATATATTTAGCCGGTTATTGAGGTGTCATTTTTCCCCCGAATTGTATTATTTTGTACAGGTAAATACTTCGTAGTAATAATAGGTCTCAAAGTGATTGTTTCATAGTACTCACTGGAGTAAGAATAACATCCATAGGAAGTGAAAGATCCAATTGTAGGGTTTCAAGAACATTTCCTTTGAAAGCCAGTTTAGGCAGACCGTAGGGTATGATGTATCTAGTGATGATTATGTCGACCTAACCACTCCTATGAATCCGGTGTTCATCTTGCTGTGCTAATGAGGTATGGCAACCTGAACCGATGCACATATGTGCCTGGTCCTACGTTGTAGCTGACTGACTAACTGATGTCGACAGTTCCAACATGTTGCTTACTAATGGTGACTTACGTTCTCAAAACTACCTGTAGATTCTTAATTTAAATCCCATTACATACATATCCCTACAGGTTCATGCCCAAGACCTTTTCCACATTTGCTATACCCTCGATTGGTATTGTTACATTTATTACTTCCAAGGTAACATTTTCTCTGTATTTTGGAGTTCAAAGGTTTTCTTGAGTTCTGAATTAGCGGATCCTGCTTTTGAATCTCTATTCATGTAGTGAGGGTCGTACTACTGTTAATCATCACTAAAGACGCATGGTTCATTCAGTTACATTTGGTTACTGCAGTACTCATTATTTTTTATTGTTTACTTTCTATTGAAGGTCTAATTGCCTTTCATTTTGTTGTCTACTGTTACATTGTAATCATTACCCAAAGTTTTTTCAAGGAGAGGTCTTTCATAGTAATTTAACCTATAGCGAACATTGGTGATTCGGATTATAATGATTTACTTCTATGTTCATTAGATAAATGAATAAATATTCGTACTTTTCCGTTGATTTTAAAGCAAATCATTTATTTCGAAATAATCGTCAAACATGTTCCAAATGACAAATTGTCCCCTATTCATAAACAGCAATGCATATGATTTTGAGGCTTTTGTGTACATCAGCCCTAAGTTCATCATTTTTCATGACGTTTCCTTTGGGTTAGTTTTTACCATAATTTCGAATTCATGCACTTGTCCCATTTAAGCTGCAAGAAGAGATTGGTATAAGCGAAGATGTTATCAACACTCTACAAGAACGGGCTAGTCAGCTTACAGCAGAGCGAAAACGACGTGGAAAAACAGTACCAGAAGGATTGGCTAGATCTCGAGCTATTTCTGAATACCAGCAACTGGCTAATCATGTAGGCCTTCATTCTGCTAGCATGCCTGGATTAATTGTCTTGACATCAGCAAGACATCTCCTGAAAGAATTGTAACGGGGGGTAACGACAAAACTGCTGTTGTATTTGATCTTTCTACATCACAAGTAAGTTCTCCCCATCTTCTGCTTTGTTTTATTTAACTTAGAAAAAATATGGGTAGAGCAGATTAATTAGTTGGTAATTGAGATAAAGAAACATTTAAGAAGTGCATCGGCGAAACTGATTGTATATCTGAAAATATAGCACATATTTGTGAATTGCGTTGTGACATTACATGAAGTGTAATGATCCTTTTCTTGGTTCAGTTGATAGTGCATTTATGAAATCTCTAGACATTCGGTTAAAATTTGAGTATTCTAACTAATAAACAGTAGCTTCAGCTTAACTTATTCGGTAATTAATCGTTTTTCACGTACGTGGGTACTTATCCTTTGGTTCAATCGTCTTAAGTTGCTATGTTGCTGTTAGAAATAGTTGTTTTCAATATTTTGTATTTGTTGACTGTCTGCATCATAACCACTAATGTCAAATGTGTCCACAAAACTTGGTTAAGGGATTTGTGCATATGGCTTGGTTTATTGAAGATAGTAATACCTACTACAAGGAGAGAGTACTTACTACAACGGTAAAGATGTAGTATTTTCTAGCACACCACATTCATTTTACCTCATAGAGATACTGTGTTGTTCTTCAACTTGAGTTAATTTCACGGACAAATATAAGGAAGACTATACCGCTGTGATCCATTCAAGGTATTCATATGCCAAAAACTGGGCATGCATGTTAAACTTCTCGCTATCAAGTCTCGAACTCCACCCTACATTCTGAAGTTCCATCAGGTTGATAATATGCGTTGTCACACAGTAGGTGTTATCTATTACACGTACATAATCCTGGTTACAGGATATATATTTCCTAATTTCTCAGTTTTAGTGGATTGATAAAAAGTGGTATAATTATTAAAAACTAATAAACTAGTAACTTCTATCCGACTCATATAGCTTTTATTTATGTAGAAACAATTAGTGCTCGTGCAGTAATCACAAACATTAGTTTGGAATTTGGTTATTTATATTTTATAGATCTATTTAGCTGATTTAGTTTAATACTACGTCTTGATTTCGTTCTTATCAAGCTAAATGAGTGAAACTTCTGCTTTCAAGTAAATTTGTGTATTTTTTCCTAAAATATGACTTCAGTGTTTTTTGTTTTCTTCTGTTTGCTTATTTGTATTATTTACCCCCGAAATATATCAACACACTTGTAGTGTTGTTATTTATTAACACTTTTCTTTATTTTTATCTAAAAGGTCATATCCATTCTCAAAGGACATAACAAAAAGGTTACACAGGTTGTTTATCATCCGTCTGAAGAATTAGTGTTCACAGGTTCGCCTGACACAACTCTGAGAGTATGGGGTGTCGAACAAGGTCAATGTGCAAGTATAATTCGTGCACACAAGGGACCTGTAACTGGTCTAAGTATTCATGCGACTGGAGATTATTTGCTTTCATGCAGCTCAGACGGTCAATGGGCATTCAGTGATTTGCGACATGGACGCGTTTTGGTTAGAATTTCCGCCGTGGATAAGTCTGGCAGTATCCAAGGTCAGTTTTCAAACTTATCTGAGTTGTTCTATAAATAGATTTTTAACATACTTTTGTAACTATTTATACCACTGAAGATTAACAATACCAAAATTCAATGCGTAAAAGTACGTTACCGTCAATGTGATCGTGTTTGTCAATCAAGAATGAAAACACTTTTAAACTCATGTAAAAATGGATATCTAGCCCCATTGCATTCGAATTCAATGGGTCTTAAATTTCATTTGTTTTATATCAATTTTAAATGAATGGGATTTTCTGTCTCTTTCTTAGCTTTGCACAGACTATCCGTAATTGGTGTATAATTTGGTTTACACGCGAAAGTGCTTTTGTAAGCTGTCCCACTTATGATTATTATCAATCTTATTATCATTATTTTGGTTCTAGATAATTCTGTGTAATTTATACTAGTCCCTTGGAGCAATGATTATTACGTATATTGTATGAAAATGTCTTATTTAGAGAACACGTGTTATGCGGCTCTTTTGTATTGGGTAGTTCCGAAGTTTCACTTTTTTCAGTTTAATTATAATGAAAAATTACTTTGCGTGTTTCACTATTCTAATGACTTCATTGTCAATTGTGATTTTTATTATCTTTAATTGTTCAAGATTATGGTGTAAATTTGCTATGTTCGAAGAATTAAGATATCACCTAGGACCGGCGAACGGAACGAAAGTCAGCAACACAACAACGGGACAAGCTAATGTATTCCTCTCCATCCTAACCCTGCTAACTAGGGGAAGAAGGCTAGATTCATAAACAGCTTGGAAGAGTGAACAAACAAGCACTGAACTTATGCATATATATATACAATACAAGAATGTCCTTGAAAAACGTCACATGATAGCGTACTAAAGGCGGAAACGAGCCAAAGACATTCAAGATCATTCTAGGTGGGAAACACCAAGTGAAGGTTAAAATAGGCGCTTTTGACACAAAAATGGGAAATTGACATTTCCATAACTAAATTACAAGAATGAGTAGTTTACCAAGTGAATTTTGGGGATCTAGTATCCGTGACAAAGTTATACTTCATTCATTTCAAATAATCTGTCTACCTTTTGTAGATATTTCTGTATCAATTTCCACCGAATTCACAACTAAATGTAATATTGTTTAGGTATTCAAGTTACACGTGTTGCTAATTTCAAGTGAAATCGTGAACAATAGTTTATCTCAGATCTTTATGAAAGTGTATTATGAACTTGAAATCTACGTCGATAATTACTTTTCGTGTTATTGGTTTTAGACCAATTATATTTAGTTATTTATTTAGTCCATATTTCTGAATATCATTGATGTGTTCTCGAAAGTTTTACCACCGAAATGAAAGCAACCGCAATTAAACCATTTGGCTCGGAAAACTAAAAAACACCAAAATCATTCATTTGAGTTTCAAATCTTCTCCATTATTTCAGTTTGTATTGTGATCCTTAGTAGTTACAATAAGTAAAATATTTAGTATTATAGCACTTCAGTTTTTTTAATGATGATTTCAGCACTTACTTGCGCCCAGTTTTCATCCAGATGGTCTTATTCTTGGGACTGGTACTGCTGATGGGGAGGTGAAAATCTGGGATGTTAAGGAACGGCGCAACGTTGCGAATTTCGCACATGGTTCAGGTACTAATCAACTAGTTACAGCTGTCGCTTTTTCGGAAAATGGATATTATCTGGCTACAAGTGGTGGCGATAGTCAAGTGAAGCTCTGGGATCTGCGGAAATTAAAGAACTTTAAAACTTTGGTAGGTGATTTGTTGTCCTTTTCAAACATATGTACTCTTGCAACCGTGTATGCTATTTCAAGTCACTATAGTGGTCTCTTATCGTTTTATCGATGAAGACTGATCTCATAACATCTGTCCATCAATAGGTCTGTAGTAGTTTTGCTTCGTTAATCGATCACCTCGATAACCGTTATGATATAAATCTCAAGGCAAAGCAAGGACTAATAATAGGATTTGAGTACATACATATATGGGGAGGAGGATGAAGGATCGAGTGATATTTAAGCAATCAACATTTTAGCTAGAGTGTGATCTAACGGTACAAAGAAATATGCGAATTGTTACTGTTCAAATAACATTGTCTGTTAAGTAAGTTAATAAGAGGGCTTAACTAAGATTAACCGTAATCGAGATTGGTTGTAGGATAGTTGCTACAGTTCTTCTATTGGTGATTGGTGAATTACATCTAAGCCTCTAGTAAAGTATGTCCTATATCATGTTTCTTGAATTTACATTCTCTACTTCATTTAATCCGTGTTTCCAAAGAATAGTGTTCTTTCATCGAGGAATTTAAAATTCTGTGTATTAAAACTTGAATTCAGTATAAAATACAACAAATACACTAGGTATGATAGAGAAAACGTTCAAAAACTTTCTGTATCGCCTAACTATCGTTGTAGTTTTATCCGTCCCATAGTTCATCAGCGATTGTAGTTCTTCGTCTTCAAATGTAGACCATTTATTCATTTGGAAAAGAAGCTTAACACTGAAGTGGAGAAACCTCAGGATTTTAATCCATGGAAACTTGCTGTTCACATAAATGCACTATTTTTACTAGCTGTAATCAAAAGTCTTCAATACACACAACTACAGTTGGTAATCAACTGATTCACATTGTTTCATTTATTCAGAATAAAATGACGTTCTTATATTCTTTGTAAGATTGTCATTTTCTGTATAATGATCCATTCTTCTTAATATATTAGTGGTGTTTTATTTAATATTGTGGATATTTACATAGGTCTTATTGTTATAGGTTTTTCGCTCAGGTTGCCTTTTGATTTTAGTTAAGCACAATTAAATACAATTTAAACGATATAGTTCACACTATTTCATAATGTTGTATCTGAAGGTCAAAAGTGTACATTAATTTATTGTAGATTCCTGGTGAAGATCAGCCATCCTACGAAATATGCGATGTGGAATTCGACCAGTCTGGTTCATATCTTGCTGTTGCTGGTACTGATGTACGTGTGTATTTGTGCAAACAGTGGGATCAATTAGTTTCGTTCAATGCACATACAGCTCCAGCAACTGGAGTTCGTTTTGGTGAGAATGCAACTACGGTTATTTCAGCCAGTCGTGATCGTTCAGTAAAAGTATTTGGTACATAAATTACTCGTAATTTTGCTCGCAGTTATCATATTTTGTTCTGCGTTGTTTTGTTGTATATCAACACCACAAATATTCTTGTCATTGTATTATGTCTTTATAAAATATATATATGTATTTGCATTTTATGCTGTTTTAGTTCTAGTAATTGTGATTATAAATACTTCAGCTGGAGAATTATAGAATAAGAAACACCTAAGACTTTGTTGTTTTGTGGTCATCCAATTTTTACTGATACACGAGCTTCATATTATTTGTTTGAACACATAAATATCGGTACAAAGGGGCACCAAATATATTTGTGCCACACAATAAGAGTGTGAAGAGATAGAGAATGTAAGGTGCGTATAAGGAAAAGGAAAACAATGACGAACAGAAATTCGTGTGTGAGAGTGAAATAATAATAATGGTACAAGCAGTTCAGTTAAGAAAAATACAACCGGAAAGAATTCTTCCAATTAAGGAAGTTGCTTTCACTATCATGAAGAAGCTGTAAGCTGATTGGAGTCCTTGTTTCCGCAGAATTCTAGACGTCACTATTATCTAATCGAATCCGGCAAAATATCTGATTCATTAAGTCATATTTTTCCACAACTGGGTACGACTAATAGTAATCTTCCTAACGACCGTTCCACTACTGATTCGAAGTATAGCAACATTGAATCACTTTTAATTGTTCACTGAATGCTCAGTTTACGTTAAGGATGATAGTTGGTTATTGTTATGAGGTTATTTCGTCCACACAATGTTACATCCGTCTTACAGAGGCCTGACGTCTACTCAACTTATCATCAACACAAGTTAGGTATGGGCTAGCTAGCATGTTAGTTGTATAATTATTTGTCACAACTGATACTCAGTTAGCTGTTAAGTAGGCGGTTTATGTTTATTCGTTAAATGCATTTGAATTATTTGAATTTATACGCGGGTCTTCAGACTTACTGTAAACAGTTGAAGCAAGTAGAAAGTACACAATCATATTTAAATATGTGTGGGTGAGGGAAATAGTGAGTGGTTATTTACTGAGTCACAGCGACTCATACAACGAGGGCTTAGTTATTCCAAGTGTCACGAACAGTTACCTGCGAACGTTATCAGTATACCCCCCCCCCAATGAAACTACGATAAATATGAAGATAAAATGTTGGAGGGTTCATTGATGCATCATTATTACTGACAAAGCAAGAGCAACGTTTGGTACAGGAAAATAAGTCTAAAAGTTGTACATATATAACCAAAAAGGATTTCTAATAGTCAACTGAGTTTGTCTGGCTATTTATTGATTCTTAAACAATTGTTGACTTTCCTCTCGATCCTCTTACTCCACTTATCCATAACTTACTGTTCGTTAATTGTCTGACTTCGTGAGGTAAATACTGTTTGCTTCCTGTGCCTGTAAAAATGGCGTGTACCTACCCTAGCAGAAATATATTATAAAGGAAGGTATTTGTGTCACCAGAGCAACAATTTTTATAGGCACATGGAACGTCCGGATAGTGTGAGAGACCGGGAGGACCAGTCAAATAGCAACGGACATGAGATGCGAATGAGTAGTACTGGGAATCAGCGTAACCCATTGGACCCAAGCTGCACAGCAAAGGCTAGATACGAGAGAGATGCTACTATACTCCGGTCACGACGAGGAAAATGCTCCACAAACTCAAGGAGTTGCTCTAATGCTGTTCAAAGAAGCACGAAATGCACTTGTAGGATGGGAACCTCACGGATCCAGAATCATCAAAGCATCCTTCAAAACAACAAAGGAGGGAATCACGATGAATGTTACCGAATGTTGTGCACCCACCAATGGTAGCAATGACGACGATAAAGATCAGTTCTACGATAGGCTGCAATCAATCATGATGGCGTAATAAGAAAAGGACCTAACCATCTTGATGGGAGACTGAAACGCCAAAGTCGGAATGGAAAACACTGGATATGAAGATATCATGGGACAACATGGACTAGGAGAAAGGAACGACAATGAGGAAAGATTTACAAATCTACGTGCATTTCGCAAAGTGCTTATTGCTACACAAACACATACACAAAGCTACATGGGTTTCTGTGGTGTTTGAATTAACTAATGATTCTTTTGTACTTGTTGGATGCTCGATTTCGGATTCTAAATACAATACATTCGTTCGTGCTTGTGTCGTAATTGTTTATTCAATTGCGTTAATTCTGGGATTCCTAGTTCGTACGATAATTCAAATACATTTTAAAAATTATGGTTTCACCAGTTTACACCACGAATAAGCAGATCATATTTGTATCAATAGAGAATGTAGTAGAACAATAGAAGATGTGTGAACCAGGAGAGGAACTGACATACCATCAGATCACCACTAGCTGGTGGTTGCCAGGGTGAAACTAAAGCTAAAGAAGTACTGGGCAACTGGAGAAACAGCATTACGGAGGTTCAATATGGCCTTCCTTCGAGATACTGACAAGCTCAACGAATTCAAGATAGCTCCCAACAACAGGTTCCAAGCCTTACAGGATCTACTGAAAGAAGAAGCAACTACTATGGAGGATAACTGGAACGGATCAATGAAGGATTAACCTCAACGTGCTCGGAGGTGCTGGGCTGCAACAAACGTCATCACAAAGAATGGATCTCTATCGAAACCCTAGACAAGATTCAAGACAGGTAGAACAAGAAGACAGCAATCAACAACAGTCGAACAAGAGCACAGAAATCCGAGGCACAAGATGAATACAGCAAGGCAAACAAGCAAATGAAGAGGAACATTGGGACTGACAAACAGAAATACGTGAAAGATCGAGCAACGACATCGAAAAAAGCTTTAAGAGGAGGAAATTCGAAACAGTGGAACTCGTCACTATACATCAACTTCATTGACTGTGAGAAGGCGTTCGACCGTGTTGATCAGAGAACGTTGTGGAAAGCTTCTCGTTACCATGGTGTAAATGAGATCGTCAATATCATCCGGAATTCAGATGACGGACTATAGTGCAAAATGGTGCATGGAGGACAGCTGGCAGACGCAATGCAAGTGGGGGACAGTGTAAAACAACGCTGCCCACCCTCGCTCTTTATCTTTCTTCTGGTAGTTGACTGGATTATGAAGATCTTCACATCTGACAGGAAACACGGAATACAATGGGCAGCTCAGAGTCAATTAGACGATTTGGACTTCGCAGATGGCCTGGCCCTGATATCCTATGCACAACAACAAATGCAGATAAAGATAACTAGTGTATCAGCAGCCTCTGCATCAGTAGGCCTCGACATACACAAAGGAAAAGCAAGCTCCTTAAATATAACACAGAGAACACCAAACCAATCACAATTGATGGGGAAACTCTGGAAGATGCGGAATGATTCACGTATCTGAACAGCATCACCGATGAACAAGAAGGATCTGATGCAGACTTAAAGGTAAGGATTGAGAAAACAACAATAGCATTCTAACGGTTGGAGAACATATGGAAGTTACAAGAACTATCAACAAATATTAACGCCAAAATCTTCAGTACGAACGTCAAGATAGTTCTACTGTACGGACCTGGAACTTGGAGAACTACCACAACCATCATCAAAGAAGTAGTAATATTTCTAAATCATTGTCTACTCAAGATACTCAATGTCTGTTGGTCGGATTCCACTAGAAACAGACTACTGTGGTAGGGAACTAACCAGATTCCAGCTGAATGGGAAATTAGGAAAACCTCGATGTAAATGGATAGGACATACATTACGTAAATCACCAAACCGCATCACGAAGCAAGCCCTAACTCGGAATCCTGAAGTGAAGCGGAAAAAAGTAAGGCCAAAGAATACATTACTTTGGGAAATAGAAGCAGATGTGAAAAGAATGAATAACAACCAGAAAGAGCTGGGAATTATTGCCCACGACAGGGTTGGGTGGAGAGTGCTAATGGGCAGCTCAAGCTCCTACAAGAGAAGTAACAGGCTTAAGTAAGTACTTGTAAGAGTCCATCTTCCTGTGTAGTTTCCTTAGAACGTTCGTGCAAAAGGATTAGGTTGGCTAACAAGTAACACTGATGGTCACTTGCATCTCATAGCACCTGCAGTAATCGGGGAGATTAGTGTTTGGAGATGTTACTTAAAGAGTATAATACAATGAAATAAATTTGGGAAGAGAAAAAAAGAGACAAGGAGGAATAAGGGGATCAAAGTTTGGGAGAACACAAAGAGTGGATGCACCTGCGCCATTGCAAACAATTTTAAGCCATGTCATTCAGAGTCTCTAACAATCGGTTGCTATCATCTGGCGTTCCCCAACCAGGGAGTCTACACCTACCGACATGACTCAGACCACCTGTCAGTGACTTCGTGGACTTGTGCCATGTTTTGGTCTGGCCGCCCCTAGCTTTCTTCCAACCTACTCCTATACCACTGAACATCGCACGTCGAGGCAGTCGGTCGTTGGGCATACGTAACACGTGTCACAGCCATCTCAACTGATGAAGTTTCACTACGTCATCAATTGACTTGCCATCCTTACCTAGTACCCGTTTCCTAACAACTGTGTTACTTACTCGATGGTCCCACGATATACGAGCAATATTTCTAAAACACCTATGATCAAATACTAGTAACCTACGAATATCCTCTACTCTTACCGGCCATGTTTCACTGCCATAAAGTAGGACGGAACGAACTGCTGCGCAGTAAACCCTTCCTTTGGTTGATAGACGGATATCTGTTCTTCACGAGCTTTATATTAGGCGTCGAAGTATTATCGAAGCTAATATTTTAGATACTATATTTGTCAAACTGATTCCTCTGTGATTGTCACAAGAGGACTTTTGTCCTTTCTTATAGACTGGCACAATCAGTAATTGAGACCAAATTCTACCTAAGACCTCAGTTAATCTCACTGCTAATACTGGACCACCATCCTTAAAAATCTCGGGAGTAAACCTGTCAGGGCCTGCTGCTCTCCCGCGCTTCAGATTTCCTATGGCTTTTTCAACTTCGTAAAGAGACGGAGGACCTACATTAACTTGC